TTTTATCCGGGTCACTGGCTGGGGGGGGGGGGGGGAGCCAAGTTGGCTGGGCTTAGCCCAGCCCCCTGTGGGCTGAGCTAGGTCCTGCCTATAAGATATGGACTGCGCTGGGCTGGGCCCAGCCGAGCCCAAAAAAAATAAAAAAAAAAGATTTTGAATGTGTAAATAAAAAAAATGAATTTCTTTGTTCTTTATTCATTAAAGCTAGAGTCAGAATAAAAATTCAAATTTATTTCATTGAACTTTATTTAAATTTCACAAAAAATAAAAGTAGGTAAAAAAATAAAAATAAAATAAAATTATAAGTTTATTCACTGATGCCAGAGTCAGGAATAAAATTAATAATTTATTTTATTGTATTTCTCTTTTGCTTAATTACATAAAGATATACATGCATAAAATTTTTACTTGATCTTTTTATTCACTGACGCCAGAGTCAAGAATATAAAAGATACTGATTTAAAAATATTTTATTTTTACTTCTTTTTTTAAATAATAATAAACTGATTTTATTTTTTATTCACTGATCTCAAAGTCAGGAATAAAAAAAAATAATGATTTAGATTTGTTTACTTTGATACCTACGTAATATTTACCAACGCTAGAGTTGAAAATATCCGTAGTTGAATATTCACTAGCGCCAGAGTCAGGGATATTACACACAAATAATTATAGTATAAACAAAAAAAAAATGTTAGCAATTAAGGACAAAGATCAGCAATGCAGCCTGCCTTAGGTAGGACGTTTAAGGGGTGATAATATCTTCCCTTTTATCTAACCAGTCTCGGATCATAGAATCTCTATTGACCAGTTAGGGTTTCTAGTAACCATAATACTAGGTGACAACTTCTTAAACAAAGACAATTTTCCATCAAAGGATAGGATACCAGAAATCCATTCTTTTCATTTCATGAATTATATTTTTTAGGTTGTCGCGGTGTTAGGTGTGACATGAACCAAGTTGATAAAATTTCTATACATCATTGAAATTACTCACATTATTTTCTCATGGATAAGATACGTAAGATAAGCCAGATCATTCGACTGAAGAATCAGAAAGGGATCGTGACATTGCCAGTCAAGAAGGAACATGAGACATATCAGCAACAGCTTCTACTAATGAGAAGTGGAGGAGCGTCTAACCACATTGATGAGTTGTGGAAATGTCTTTGCTTTGCTTAACTTTTGTAGGAAAGGATACAACAATTCCACAGTTGTATTAAATTGGTTACCTTTCTCTTTAAGACAAAGCAAATCGTGACAAATTAAAAGCATATTCGTCTAAAAAGGGCTAATATGAACTCCCATGCGCCTCTTACAAAAGCTTTCGATGGTCCTATAAAGAAAACTATCAAATCTGTCTTATATCATATTCATTGAAAATAATATGTTTTATGAAATTTATTTTATAAAAATAAATATATACAAAGAGAAAAAAAATAAATTTATTATTCATTAAAAATAAAAAAATTAAATGAGTAGTATAAAATAACTAATAAAATTTCATTATAGAACAATATATATATATATATATATATATATTAATTTTTTTTTGGAGAAATAATGAGTGTAAATGTTACACTGCGTTGTAGCATGAGATGGATTGAAATTGCACACACCGTTACCATAAAATACGCGCACTTATATTATCCTCAATATAATTGTTAATAAAAATTTATCATAGTTTTTACGACTTAACATTGTTGAAATGAGTAATAAAGCTCAATCCCTTGGTACATACATGCATGTAAAGAGGATGGTTACAGAAAAATCCAATTTAATTATTTTTTTATTCTTGTAAATAAAATTATAATCTCGTATATAAATTCTAATGAGTTGGAAAACACACCAATCATGTAGCAAAACTCAATTTTTTAGATACTTACAATATTACACTCTCCTTGCTCATCAAAACATAGGATTTACAATGAAAATTATTTATTTCAGTTTTCAATTTCCTTTTGCTTATAATTATTTCCTTTATTTTACTGCAAGTTCTTGATTTGAATATATATTAAAAAAGAAACACAAAACAATAGTTCATTTACTAATCATAAACTAAATCATCTAATAACATGCATGATTTTTATCATGAGTTTGTGGTTCACTCAAATTCACTTTATTTTTTTAATTAAATATTATTGTTTATTAATTATAAATTTGAGTTTCACATATCAGCCTAACTTAATTCAAGTATATCAAATGTTTTTCTATCTTGATATTATATAAAAATATCATTTAATTTTTTATTAAAATTATTTTTAATTTTAAACTTGTTGCAAGTCACAAACTTCTTGAGTTTTGTCACTAAAACAATATTTTGACTGGATTTATTTGCACCCACGTGAGGCCCGTATGATGCCACCCTATATAACAATTAACAAAGCAATAAAAAACAAAACAAGGTTTGGGGATGGGAACTGGAGCATAAAAAACAAGTTTTTTTTAATATGTTAATATTAATTATTAAAAAAATATAAGAATTATTATTTGAATATATTTTTAATTAACAACTACTTTTAAAAAGCAACTTATCACATTACACGGATACTCATTAGTGCCGAGGGCAGGCACGTGATCGTGAGAAAAGGGCGCAGCAAAAAAGCTTAGAGAAGGACACAAGACAAGAGTTGCTGTATATATCCTTGTAATAAAATTCCTGGCGGCCTTTGAGGTACTTGAGTCTACTTTCCATTCAAGATTAAACCTTGTGATTGGTAGTCTATTCTCAATCTTTTATATCCTTGGAATTATTCTATCAGAAAACTTATATATTGATGGACGACAACACCAGTCAACAGAGCGCAATTGGCACTGCTCGCCACATGTGGACACCGTGCACAACTTGCGTCTTGCTTTCTCGACTTAGAAATTCCTCACAAAGTCATAGAGACTAGGAGGGCTATGAAAAACAAATAGTGAAAACAACTTTCTACCAACCGGCGTGTGAAAATAATAACCAATTGCATTTGAGCAAGTTGATTATATATGGTCTTTAACTAGGATGTTTTATTGTAGTTGACCCCATTAGCATGCAAGTTTAAGAATTTTCTAATTGTAATTGGGCATAATAATATACATAATGTTTAATATTTCTTTATTAGCAAACTACTATAAAGATGAAAATTTGATAATAAAATATTTAAATAAGGGTTTTAGTGGACACCCTTTTTGGAAGATTTGTGTCTTTCTTTTTTTTATGTTTGCTATTTTTATTTTTTATTTTGTTGATTCCATTTGCAACCGTTGGTATTAGAGTTATTAAAGCCCGATTCAAGGCTTTTATAAGAGAAAATAAAAAGGTACTCTCTTGGGAAAGAGATATTTAGAAACTATTAATATAAAACATAAATCACAGAGGCAAATGTTATAACCGAATATTATAACCCTAGGAAATCGTGTGGAGACTCATAACAAATTCATCACATCTTTGCAAACTTATTACAAAGGGCAAAAGTAGAGGAGACACCTTTTTAATTGAGATAAATATCATAGAAGTTTTCATGATGCAGTTTATAATGTTTTGAGATTCTCCATCATTATGCTCATAATAATAATATAAAAAATAACAATAATATAATTGATGATGTCATCAATAAAGTTTTCATTGATAAATTAGAGGATTGACTACAAGGAAAACATCAAAATTATCAATTTAGATTATGTTTATCCTTTCCATTAGATGTTTAGAGCTATCATAAATGTAGATTTGATACATAAAAGATCAAATAAAAAATAATTGGAATACAAAAACAAGTTATCTTCAATCTAAGGACATTGATGCAAGATTATTTTTACGACAAATTATTTATTTCTGTGGATAATTTTATTTGTATTTACTTTAAAAGAATATTTTTTTTATGTTTTTTTATTTAGTTAAGAAAATCAAATATTTTACTTGGTAATTTTATTTTTTTCAATTTAATTAGGAATCTTTATAAGAAATATAATTATTTATTATGATTTTTTTCCTTTTCAAGATAAATATGGTATTAATATAAATAGTGTTGTTTAATTTGTATTTCAGCGAGGTAATTTAGTAATAAACTATTCAAATAAAGGTTTTTGAGAACATCTTTTTCATTTATATGTTCTTGTGGTTGCTATTTTATTTTTTTTATCTACGTCATTTTTTATAAGTAAAATTTTAATGCTTCATTTCTTTTTGAAGAGTAAAGGATTGATCCGATGAGTGGTTTCCGTCAGCTTTATTAACCTTTCAATCTGTGCACAGCAAATGCTTGAGAAAATTCCTGGTGGACATAGAGCTATTAAAAAATTGTCAACTGCATGCATGGCTCGCCTTTTGCTTCCTTGAATTTTTTAAATCCATCACATCCATCATGAGACTAATAGGTTTATTAAAAAATTGTGAAAATAACTTTCCGCCAACTCATCTGGATAAATAACGTAGAATTCCATCTGAGCAAGTTGATATATATGGTCTTTAATTAAGATGTTGCTTAAGAGATTTTTTAATTGCCATGTGGGTGCGAGATTACTGCAAGACTAATGGGGTAAACTACTGTGAAACATATATCTTAATTAAAGACCATATATATCAACTTGATCATATGCATTCGAAGTCATTTTTTATTGTATCAAATGTTAAAACTACTAATTTTATATTGAATTAAAAAATAACGTATAAAGTTGATAACGAATCATTCATCACAAAAATTAAGTTTTTTAGATAAAATTCAAATTCAACATCATATTTGATAACAAAAACATGAAGAGTGTAACAAATAACATTAAACTGCACCGGCAACCTTTGCCTCAACTTTGTCATGCTAACTTTATCTTCACGTCCTATTTTAATAGGTTTTGAAGGTGACCATTTAATTTCAACTTATCTATTACTTCATGATTTATCAAGCTTTTAGACATTTGAAGTATGTATATGCTATGAAAGTGCTGCTGAAGGTTCAATGCAGATCTATCATTATGGATGCACAGAGAGATGCAACGGGAATTATGATATGATTGTTATAATGATATAGAGGATACAAAAGTTTTCTTATAAAGTTGGATGTTTTATGGAACTCAGGAGGATATATTGGCAGGACTTTTTGTCTTTTCAGGAGCTACTAATGCGATCTTTAACGATACTACTAAAGAGGAGTTTTCTTGCACTGAAGAAATAATGGCATGGTTTTTATTTTTGTTTTTTCAATGTTCTTGTATTTCTTGGTTATAAGTCAGTTGGTTCTCTGTCCTCTGCAGATCCTTGGTTTCTGCATATGTATTCTGGTTCTCTTGCATACCTATTATTAGGTGTTTTCATGCATTCTATTGCTTATAAAAAAAAAATTATTTATTCAATGGTCTTGACGTTGCGTAGCAAATGATTTATTCAAGGGTCTTGCAATTGCTTCAGACAAGTAGGGTTTTATACACACACACACACGAGAAGATATTATTAGTATTTGCTAGTGCCATAAAGATAATAATGACCAAACTAGCAAGCAAAAGAAGAATACAGGGGTTCCAAACAAAAATGGAAACGGAGGCAAAATAGAAAAACAAAAATAGACTGAGCAAGCATATAATGAACAAAACTTGAATGCCTTACTGATTTGACCAAAGGAAGATCTCATCGGAGCTTCTGAGCAAGTCCATTGCTGTCTAATGGAAGTTTCCTTCGAATGTTTTCAGCTAAAATACTGTCAAGCGATGAAGAACCAGCTCAAAGACAGTATCACAATCACAAGAATCTCCCACGAACACCCTCTTGTTTTTAGCTAACCAAATACCCCATAATTCACCAAAAACCAAGCTTAAAATGGCTTTGCGTTGGAATTTGCCTTTACACAAATAATTCCAATCAAGAAGTAGGTCTGCAATAGTACTCGGTATACACCACTGAAAATCCAACCATTTAATAAATCTGCACCAACATTTCCATACATAGGAGCAGTGGAGGAAAAGATGGGGTACTGATTCATTGTTTACTTCACAAAAGGGACGACGAGCTTCCTCTTAACGGAATTATGTTCCTTTGAGCGAAAAATTCCTTTGTATTAACTTTCCCTTGAACCATATGAACATTTCAACTTTTGGTGGTGTTAATCCTCTACATAGCAGGCTAGTTGGGAAGGATGAGTTTCCTGGATAGTC